CCCCAAAACCCCAAAACCCCAAAACCCCAAAACCCCTCATTTGTAATTCTGTCCTAAAATAGGAAAATAAAATTAATTTGTTTACTTATTTAATTAATCGGCAAATGAAGATTTGGAGCAGACTTGTGATAACTGCTTTAATTTTGGTGATTCTGATAACATCAATATAAAATAAATCTAGTGGAGGCAGAAGCAGTGGAGGTAGAAGCAGTGGTAGGTCTTCTTCGTTTAGAAGTTCGTACTCGACAGGCTATAATTCATATTATGGAAAGTATTACTATAGTGGATCTGGAGTCAGTGGAGGTGCATGGTGGGTATACTTAATCATTCTGGGAGTCCTATTTATTGCATTCCTTTCATATATAATTGCGCTATCGTGCACAAATAATATTTCATTCTGCAGAGCATTAGTAGCAGTATTGATGTTTAACTGCAAAGAGCCAGCGCGAGATGATCTCGGCTGTTGTGGAGTAAGTGAATGAAAGATCATAAAATGTTTTATTCCAATTTTATTTTTAGATATTTATATCTCATTTTAATTTTTATAGAGAGAAAAATCAAGAAAAAATGCATATGAAACTAAAAATAAACAAGTCATTGAAAATCAAAACAATTCATAGGTAATAGATCCTTACCAAGATGATGTTAAAAACGACGATCAGATCATATAAGTTTAAGATATAAATACTGTTTAAGGAGCAGGTGGTTACCCTCCAATGACCTATGATGCCTAACAATAAAATCTTTAACCTATTGTTAACAGTGATTAGAATCAACCAGTATTATATGGTGGTTTCCAAGCGTAGCAAGAGATGATTTAGCCTTAAGCACAGCCAATAATGAAGGTCAATAGTTATAAAATTGAGTAAAATACTGTTAATAAGAATGATGATAGCTCACTAGACTCAAGCTCATTATCTAATGATAATATGAACGATCCTTTGAAATAATCTGAATAATAGCAATTATCAAACCCTCCCTTAGGAAACACAATGCCTTTCGTGTAAACTTAGCAATAGCCAGTAGGGTAGCCTTAAGTTTATGGAGGATTTTAGATGCCTCCCCCTGTCGGAGGCTTTTAATAATATCCACTGCCTCAAGGATATCCTATGTAGCAGCCACCCTACTATGATCCTAATATGCAGTAGCCATAATTAATGCAAAATTAGCCAATGTATGACCCTAATTAATAGTTTGTTGGTGGCTACCCTCAATAATAACCTACAGGATATGTTCCCTCAGGATACGGATACCCT